TTGGCTTGGAATTATCAACATTTTTCAATTGTTGCCATGCTGGTCTTCTTTTGGAATTTCAAGGCTTTATCCATATATATAGGTTACCAAGAGGCTTTAAACATGAGATTATAGGTTGTACAATTTTCAGAAGAGTATATTATAGGCCCTTTGGCCTCTTGTTGTTTTACTTCTCTGGATCCTTTGCAGTGTACTATACTCAGGTGACCATTAAGGACCTTGGGAGGGGGGCAACTAGAAAAAACTTACCTGAAAAATTTGACAAGAAAAAAGGGGGAAGGGGGGGGGGGGGGAGTGAATGCCCAAATTCCAAATCCTATTTTGTGTGTGTATGTTGGGGGGGGGGTTCCAACATTTTTTATGCACCCATCTTAAGATGGGACATTTTAGTCATGGCATTTATGTCCATCCTTGTGTCTGTTAGCTTTCTTGTTTCTGGCTCATAACTTTATTACTATAAGGCCTAGAATTATCAAACTTTGCCAGCTAATTCATCTTGGGTACAAGGTGTGTGGCACATTTAAAGTAGGTTGATCACTCTGATCTTTAATTATGATGCTAAGGCCAAATTTGGAAAAATTCTGTCAGGCTCATAACTGAAAAACTATTAGGCCTAGAATCATCAGACTTGGTCAGTTAATGCATGTTTGGTAGAGGGTGTGATGCATCTTACTAAAAAGTCACTGTAACCTTTAATTTAGGTGAAATTTAAAAAAAATAACTATGTTTTTTAACTTTTAGCAGTCTTCGCCAAATCTTTTTTCAGTACATGCCCTTCGGGCAGGTTTAACCACTTATTACGCTAGCCCGAACAAATATTTACATGCCCAGAATTTTATCAAGTAATTTTATTCTTATTTGCCTTTTCATGGCTAGGAAATGATCTGAAATCCATTTCTATCGATCTATTGTCTCGCCATTAATATTGTTTTCAACCTGTACACTTTTTGTGTCTCCTTTGCAAAAGAGTTCCTTGGAAGTCACATATTGTTTTCAACGCGTATACTTTTTGTGTCTCCTTTGCAAAAGAGTTCCTTGGAAATTGAGGTAGAATAAACTATCGTTAAAATTTTATTTGATGCTCCACTTTAGATGAAAAATCAGACTTTTAAGTACATTTAATGTTATTGGTATTATTTAATTTGATAATACGGAGGCTTAGGCCTCAGAATTTACATGCCCTTCGGGCTTGTAAGTATGCAATTTCCACATGCCCGCTTCCAATTTTACCAGGTTCTGGGCTTCGGACTCTCGGGATTTGTCAAAGACTGTTTTAGATAAAACAATCCCAACAGATGTAAGAGTATTCCATAAAAAAAGTTTAAATCAAGAAAATGCACATTTTTTCATGATATACTTTACAGCAATCTATAACACATATAATGTTTCTTTTCTGTCAGTAATAAGATAAATTTCACTTCTCCCATGGGTGTGATTATTAAGTAATGGTCAAGGAGAATTTTGATAGCAGAAAACTGCCTGTCAAATTAGAGATTAATTAATATGAATTTAGTGTTAGGAGACTTCTGGTAGAGCATCTCTGATCAAGCAGGTGTAATATATCTTTTGGGAATTGGGCAGAGAAATCAAGCCTCTTAATCGTTATTGATAGTTTGTGTTTGTTTGTTGTTTAACATCCCTCCCGAGAATTTTTTCACATATATGGAGATGCCACCACTTGCCGGTAGAGGGCTGCAAATTTACACCTATACTCAGCACTCAGGGCCATTGAGCAGTTAGGAATTTTTTTCATGCCAACATCTATTGCGACATGGGACCTCAGTTTTGTATGGTCTCTTCTGAAGGACCGGTCTTCACATCCCACAGTGGGATTTAAACCTGCAACATAAGGATCAACTCCTTACTAATCGACTCTAGAGCAGACTCTCTAACCACTGTGCCACGCAGCGATTGATAGTTTGTGTCAGATTAAATAATTCCTGTTGGCTAGCTTTTAAAATAGATTTGATGTAAAGTAATTAAAACTAAATTGATATTGCATGATATATTTTTTTTAAATTGATTTTTTAGCTCACCTAAGCTGAAGGCTCAAGTGAACTTTTTTGATCGAAATTTGTCCGTTGTCTGTCGTCATTGTTGTAAACTTTCCACATTTTCGTCTTCTTCTCCAGAACTACTAGGCCAATTTCAACCAAACTTGGCACAGAGTATTCTTGGGTAAAGGGGATTCAAGTTTGTACAAATGAAGGGCCATGCCCTCTTCCAAGAGGATATATTACAAATTAGTGAAAAATTAATGCCATCTTTGAAAAATCTTCTTCTCAAGAACCACTTGGCCAGAAAAGGTGAAACTCATGTGGAATCATCCTCAGGTAGTGTAGATTCAAGTGTGTTCAAATCATGACCCCCGGGGGTAGGGTGGGGCCACAATGGACGATCAAAGTTTTACATTGCGATATATAGGAAAAGTCTTTAAAAATCTTCTTCTAAAGAACGGCAAAGCCATGATTGGTCATATTTATATGGAAGCATCCTCAAATGGTGTAGATTCAGGTTTGTTCAAATCATGACCCCTGGGGGTAGTGTGGGGCCACAATGGATGATCAAAGTTTTACATAGGAATATATAGGAAAAATCTAAAAATCTTCTTCTCAAGAACCACTGGACCAGGAAAGGTGAAACTCATGTAGTGTAGATTCAAGGTAGTGTAGATTCAAGTTTTTTTTCAAATCATGACCCCAAGGGGTAGGGTGGGGCCACAATGGATGATCAAAATTTTTACATAGGAATATATAGGGAAAATCTTTAAAAATCTTCTTCTAAAGAACAGCAAAACCATGATTGGTCATACATGTATCTATATGGAAGCATCCTCAAGTGGTGTAGATTCAGGTTTGTTGAAATCATGACCCCTGGGGGTAGTGTGGGGCCACAATGGAGGATCAAAGTTTTTACATAGGAGTATATTGGGGAAAAAATTAAAAATCTGCTTCTCAAGATCAGCAAAGCCATGATCGGTCTTATTTATATGGAAGCATCCTCAAGTGGTGTAGATTCAGGTTTGTTCAAATCATGACCCCTGGGGTAGGGTGGGACCATAATGAAAGTTCAAACTTGAAGGGAAAAAAGTCACAAAAAAATATGTAAGCATCTTTAGTTAGTGTAGATTCTATTTTGTTCAAATCATAACCCCCCCACCCCCAATGGAAGAGTCATTTTAACCTTTGTATCAAGATTGACATGATTTTCTTCCTTGCACTCTAAACTGTTTATGAGAATTAAACAATGTATGACATGTGTATCATATGCTGTGGTGCTGCACTATCTTTCACAACCAAATTACCAAATTTTATTAATAAATTACCACATTACAATTAATAACCATACCACAACAAAAAAAGAGAATTGGAGGGGGAGGGGGAAGTTGCAACCAGCCTTTCAATAAACATTTTTAGGTCACCTGAGTTTACTCAAATTTGGCATATAGCATCTATGGTTAAGGGGAGTAAAAATTGTGACATTCATTACCCCTACCCCCCTTGGGCCTGAGGGGTGGGGCTAAAACCATCAAAATTAATGCACTCATTAAAATATCTTCTTCTTTACTCCTGGAAAAGCAGGCTAATTGTAATAAGCATTGAGCCCTCTACCAAGATTGTGAAATTTATGGCCCCTGGGTCAGGGGTTCTGGTGCTAGGGCAGGGCTCTGTTGAATATATAGTGATAATGCATTGTTTCTTTACAAAGCTTCTTCGCTGCTCCTGGATATTAAACAAACAAACTAAATGCATAGTTATGATGATGAAAGATGTCTCTTCCAAAATTGTGAATTTCATGGCTCCAGGGTCAGGGGCTCTGGTGTTAGGATTGGGCTCTGTTGAATATATAGTGAAAATGCATTATTTCTTTAAAAATCTTCTTCTTTGGTCCATGGTATTTAGCAAACAAACTGAATGCGTAGTTATGATGAGTAAAGGTGCCTCTTCCAAAACTTCGAATTTCATGGCCCATGGTTTAGGGGTTCTGGTGTTAGGGTGGGGTTCTAATGGTTATGTAGTGAAAATGTATTAATTCTTTGAGAATGTTCTCCTCTGCTCCTGGGTATTAAGTCAATGAACTAAGAATATAGTAATGATGAGTAAGGGTGCTTCTTCCAAAATTGTGAATATTTTGGCCCCTGGGTCAGGGTTCTGGTTTTAGGGCAGGGATCAAATGATTACATAGGGAAAATGCATTAATTCTTTGATAATCCTCTGCTCTGATTCTGGGTATTAAGTAAGCAAACTAAATGTAAAGTTATGATGAGCAAGTGTGCCTGTTTCAAAATTATGTATATCTATCCAAGATATTTTTATCAAACTTCATATGCTGATAGATATTGATGAGAGCTATGCAACTGCATCAACATTTTTTGACCTTGACCTTTCCTTTGACCTTGACCTCACTTTTCTTAAATTAGTGTTTAGCTCAGTTTTAAAGATACCATTCAAGATAGTGTAATCAAACTTCATATTTTGATACATACTGATGTAAGCTATTCAACTGCATCAACATTTTTTGACCTTGACCTTTCTTTTGACCTTGACCTCACTTTTCTTAAATTAGTGTCAAACTTCATATGCTGACACATACTGATGTAACCTTTTCAACTGCATCAACAATTTTTTACCTTGACCTTTCCTTTGACCTTGACCTCACTTTTCTTAAATTAGTGTCAAACTTCATATGCTGATACATACTGATGTAAGCTATTCAACTGCATCAATATTTTTTCACCTTGACCTTTCTTTGACCTTGACCTCACTTTTCTCAATTTGTGTTAAAATGTTGCATTACTAATATACCCTCGGCAGGGCATTCATGTCCTATGGACATATTTCTAGTTTAAACAAGTTTTTAGTGAACATGATTTATGTAATAAATGTATAGTGAGCCTAAGTTACAAGAGTACAACTAACCCTTACAAATTACATTTGATTTTTTAAATGATGAAAATATTACTTAAAATTATCAAAATCATTTTTTGACTTTAAATTCAGGCCAAAATTTCCCACAATAATATTTGCCAAGAAGCTATTTATGTGACGTCTAAAGGGACTTGGAAAATAGGTGAATTACAACATTGCTGCAAGTTCCTGGAAATAACCCCTGAATTCCTGAAAAATTCAAGGCCATATCGAAATGCAGACTGTATTTCACCTGAGGAGAAGGTGAGATTGTATTTTTAAATTGTGCAAAAGAACACAAAATTTAATGGTATGAATAAATATAAAGATATAAATACCTGTTTTTACAATAATACTGTTCACATTTTCTTTTTCAGACTAATAAATTAACAGTCACTATTGAAATGGGCCACACTATGGATGTGTTCTCTTTTGGAGTGATGTGTGAAAACCTTTTAGAATATCTTGCAGAATTAGGTTTGCTATTAAGCCTTCATCCTTTTTGTACATTTATATAAATGAATTTTCACCCTGGAGTCAAATTGTGGCTGGAAATATCACTTTTCTACATAAAGCTGATTCCCAGAACTCCTCTTACATTTAATGCAGTAGCCAAATCATCTTTTGAGAGGTGATTGCTGGTGCCCTAAAGATATACAATAAGGATTCGGATTTTTTATTTTCATTTAAAGCTATTTGATTGTTTCCAGTTCCAGAGTGCATTTAGGCAACACCCATCAGCCACACAATTCCAAATTTACAGAAGCTGACACAGTGCTGTGATTTTTTAGGTCACCTGAGTCACTCACTTGCTATCCGTTTTTGTCTGTCTTGTGTCGTCCATATTGTGCACCATGCGTTAACATTTGAACATTTTTAAATTCTTCTCTGGAACAACTGAACCAATTTTAACCAATTTTGCATATAGCATCTATGGGTTAAGGGGAACAAAAATTGTGAATTTCATGGTCCCTGCCTCCTGGGGCCTGAGGGGTGGGGTTAAAATCACCAAAATTAATGCAATCTTTAAAAATCTTCTTCTTTACTCCTGGACATCAAACTCTTGGCATGATTGTAATAAGCACTGAGTCCTCTATAAAATTGTGAAATTCATGGCCCCAGGATCAGGGCTTCTGGTGCTAGGGCTGGGCTATATAGATCATATAGTGAAAGTGCATTATTTCTTTGAAAATCTTCTTCTCTTCTCCTGGGTACTAAACAAAGTAACTAATTACATTGTTATGATAATGAAGGGTGCCTCTTCCAAAATTATGAATTTCATGGCCCCTCGGCGGTCCTACTAAACAGAGAACCCTAGAGAACCCTAGAGAACTCAAGGTATATTTGGTCAATTCAAATAAATTTTATGCCTAATTGAGTTTATTTTTACTTTATAAATCATATTCTATCTATAAAATAAATAGCAAGATTAGTTTATGGATGTTTTCCCTCGAAAAATGTTGAAAAATTAATTGAATATTTTATGTCATCCTGATCCCGACTGAATTTCAAAAAAGCTGTTTATTGAAGTAATAATTTTACCACATAATTTTACAATTCTTTTTCACATTATTTTTATTCAATTTTATTTTTTAAGTTATATGAACTCTTAGCCATTAACTCTGGTGTAAAACTTATTTGAAAAAAAAAATACTTAAAATCACACAAAGTATGATGAAGTCTTCAGAGATTAGTATTCCTTTAAAAGTAAGCATAACACCTGGCACAATATTCTTTTTTTTAATTTTATTTTGTTCTTGTATGATATGTTGGTTATTTAAAACATAAATATTTCATTTGCGAACAATAAATAATTAAAAATCATTAGGGTTCTCTAGGGTTCTTTAGAGTTCTCTAGGGTTCTCTGTTTAGTAGTATCGCCCCTCGGTCAGGGGTTCTGGTGTTAGGGCGGGGCTCTATTGGTTATATACTGGTGTCTCATAATATTGCGTACTTATTTCTTCTGCGTAAAAAAGTTATTCCAAATTCTTGCATTAACTTCTCACCCAATACTATTCATAAACCTATCAATGGCCTAACTTTTTAGAGGCTAATTATTTTCTAATCTTTTGTCGTTTACTTTGTAGTCCATTTTTAAAACAGGAACTCTTATTTACCTCCTAAAGTGGAGAGTCTCGTTGTATCGCAGTATTGAAAAACTTGGAAGCTTGGCGATGTCACAAAGTACAATTTTTATTTTTTAATTTATGATGTAAATCTACATGAAAACTAAACAATAATACAAACTTAAGGCTTTCAAAATATGAACTTTATTATGAATTTTACTTGGTTATATATTCAATGGTCTAAATAAAATAAAAATGGGAATGGAAATCTGTAAAATTACGTTTTATTTGAATAAATATTTTTCCAACGGGTGTTCCGTACTTTTTAGTCATCACAAAAGTCAACATTCAGACGACAGACAGATAGTCCATCAACAAAAAAGGATATGAGCTATGTATCCTAATTTTTGGAAAATACTGCGATACAATGGAACCCGTGATATAATGAGAATTAAGGATATAGTGAAAATGCATTAATTCTTTGAAAATCTTATTCTCTGCTCCTGGGTTTTTAAACAGAGTAACTAAGTACATAGATATGATGAGCAAGACTGCCTCTTCTAATATTGTGAATTTCATGGCCCCAGGATCAAGGGCTCTGGTGAAAGGAGGGATGGGGTGGGTCTATTGATTAAAGAGTGAAAAAGCAAAATTTCTTTGAAAATATTCTTTTCTGCTCCTGGTTATAAAGCAAAGAAACTTAAGTGTATAGTTATGATGAGCAAGAGTGTTTCTTCCAGAATTATATGTTTCATGGCCCCTGGGTCAGATGTTCTGGTGTAAGGGTAGGCCTCTATTAATAATACAGTGAAAATGCATTAATTGTCTTATATAATCCTGTCTGCTCCTTAGTGTTGAGGAGATAAACAATGTGTATAGTTATGATGAACAAGGGTGCTTCTTGCAAAATTTTTAAAACTTGTGTGGTCCCAGGGTCAAGGATTCTGGTGTTTCTTGAAAGGGGGGGGGGGGTTCTCTATTGATACATGTAATTAATATATATAGTGAAAATGTGTTAATTCTTTGAAAATTTCAACTAAGTGCATAGTTATAATGATGAGGGTACCTCTTCCAAATTTGTGAATTTCATGAGCCTGGGTCATGGGTTCTGGTGTTAGGGTAGGGCCATGTTGAATGTATAGTAAAAATGCATTGTTTCTGTGAATTCTTCTCTGCTCCTGGGCATATCAGAGGTAAACGGATGAAAAGTTTTAACACGCATTCTCTGTAAGCACCAAAGAATATTTGAAAGGACATGTCTTGGATTTTGATGAAATTTGCACCACAGGTGTATCTTGATACAAATCTAGCAGATATGGTGTTGGAAGTTCCACATGTGCACCTGGTTGCCATGGAAATGGATCCATTGAATTTGGCCATTTTTGACCAAGTGAAAACATGAAAATTGAGGGAATGTAAACGAATATTTATCGGTATCTAATATACTCTAACAAAAATCATTGGATCATATAATAACATAAACTTTTAAGGTACACAGGGCATATAATCATTTATTCTAGAAATATTCCCACTCTAAGAAAAAGGTCATGCAAACTGACATGGTTTCTGAAAATTTGAAAAATGGGAAAATTAGTATTTTTTAAGATCTTTAAGGCTGTATAAGAAAAATTGTCTGTGGAAAATTTCCAAAACTTATGTGTGTTTTTATACTTGACAATTAGTAGTGTCATCTCATGAAAAAATATTGGTGGGCTTTTAATCCTATTTTTAGTAACATGTATCTGTAAATAGATAGGTTTTAGAAAAATGTAAAAAATCAAATTTTGGCAAAGTTTAAGATGTCACTGCTGGATAAATAGGATGTATATTGTAAAATTTAAGATGTTACTGAGAGTAGCTGGACACCCCTAGCTAGAGTGGACAATGGTTGAGGGGTATTCCCATTTCTATTAATAGTATCAAGCACCTAAATATAGATATGTCTCTGAATATTAGAAAAAAATGACAGTTTTATGCTTATTGGAAGCTTTATAGAAAAAGTGTTAACAAATATTAAGCTTTCTTTAATATGCCTTCAAAAAGAACAAGTGTTTGTACAATAAATGATACAATATTGAGGGTTGACTCTTGTTTCTTTTTATAGCAACAATGGTCTAAAAATAGATTCCATGAATAATCTAGAAGATGTAGATTCTTACACTTTTTCAGATAATGTTGGATGGAAAAAATGCAGACTAACTGTTATAAACATAGTGTGACTGACAAGTACTAGAAACCATTTACTGAAATACACACTATCTAAAGGGGGTTCCCTTTTCTATTTATAGCACCAAACACCCATAAATAGAAACTTCTCAGCATTATGAGGAAAAATGACAATTTTCCACCAGCTGTAAGATTCATTGAAAAAAGTATTTACAAAATATACTGTCTACAATATGTCATGAACAAGAACATTTGAGCAATTAATAATTAAAAAACATTAAAGATGGAATATCTTTTCTTTTTATAGCAACAGTTGTCTTAAAATAGATGCAGTGGGTTATTTAGAAAATATACATTCTTGCACAATTTTAGACATTATGGATTGAAAATTTGAATACTCTCTATCATAAACATAATGTGACTGACAAGTACTAGAAACCAATGACTGAAAGGCAAAATGTTTCAAGGGGATTCCCATTTCTATTTATAGCACAAAAATAAAAACTAAGATACGTCTTAGTATATGAGGTAAAATAAAAAATGTCCACATACATACATGTATTATTGAAGGTAGGCTCACAATTCTTTTTCTTTTTTTAGCAACAATTGTCTAAAAATAGATGCTGTAAATTTGCTCTATTTGAGATATGATGGATGGAAAATTTGCAGACTAACTGAATGGTGAAAACAGAATGTGACTGACAAGTACATATACTAGTTACCATTTACTGACAAGCATAACAATAATGAGGATTTTCAGTTCTATTTATAATTGAAATACACAAAATCAATGGGGATTTCTATTCTATTTATAGCAACAAAATTATACAAGAGACCAGAGGGCTTTAACAGTCATCTGAGAATAACCCTGTAAGGGATCAATGAAATGGCAATTTAACAAGAGACCCAAGGGCCAGAATCACTCTCCTGATAAATTTTACAACCGTATCACTTCTATTCTAAGGTTCTTAGTATCTTATATATTTAGGTAAATCCTTGAAATCCCAAAAGTAGCTCTGTGGCCTACTTTTTGGATAACAACTCTGTGAATTTAATGATTGTAAGCCTCTTATAATTTGAAATATTTAGATATTGCCTTAAAAGTCCAAAGCTGGGTCACTGTGGCCCATTTTTTGTTCACAAATTTTGAGGACCCAAGATGCTTAAACTGACAAAGTTTGACGATTCTAAGCCTCTTATTATCAGAAATATTTAGATATAGCTGTGAAATTCCAAAATTAAGTC